CAAGGGCTGACCCGAGAGCCCAAAACGACCACATGCAGCCGGCTTCTCTTTTGATAATGGAGGATAATGGATAATGGAGTTTTGATAATTCCAGGATCTCAGGGAGCACTAATCAGAACAGGAATAAATTCCTGCCCTGGTAACTGGGGCTCTGGAGTCATCCACCCAGATAGTAATATCATGATTCACTCATCACCTGTCCTCTCCAAGGCCTCAATTCTGCTGTTTGCTGAATGTGCCTATGCAAAGCCCAGTGGGAAGGCAACAAGCTGCAAAACGGGGCACAGAATACTACAAAGAATTCCCATGTGCTCTGCTCCAGTCAATGAATATTATACATACAATTAATTCAATTAGGAGTCCTATTGTGTAATCAATTATTGTTGTTGCAGTGCCTTTAATCTCAAAGCGTTTCTCAAACTATGTACTTAGAGCACCACTGAAATGCAACCACCTCTGGGGCAGAAATGCACAAGCAACTCTTGCCCCGTACAACAGCGCTGAGGGGGTGGGGCATTTTCGGCCAAAGATATCTGAGCAAATGCCATTCCCCCTGAGAAATGCCATCAGCTCTTTAGTGTCCACACAGAGCAGAGAGGGTCAAATAAGAGAACACCACACCACACCACCTTGCCTGGAGTTGAGACCTTCCTCTACCAAGCCAGTCACTCGGGAGACAGAGTCACCATTCCTATATCCTGGGCTACTGCTTCATCCAACTCATTGACAGCTGCACCCATCCTGCTGTAAGGGGGGAGAGGGCATCTGACCTGGTCTACATATAGTTTTCGTATCAGTATAACTATTTCAGTTAGGAGTGTGACTTTTTACTGAAATAATTACACTGGAGTGTGATTACACTGGAGCTACAGTTAAAGCAGTACAATTCTAGGGTGAAGACAGCAGCAAGAGATGACAACACAGCTCAACAACTGGACCTTGGTGGCAGATGAGAACCCACCATTGCCATATCTGTCTGCTTCTCATTCCAGCAGAGACTGAGGCTGTCCCTCATGACAGCCCCATTTCCCTTGGCCTCAGGTCTCCTGCATGGCAGTGCAGAGTTCTCTCTATCCGCTAGATCATTACTATCTCCAGACCACTCAAACATGTCGGAGGGGGTTGTTGTCAAAACTTTGAAAAGCTGCATAAAATAGGAAGTGCAATATTTAGATCACAGCCAAAGTGAGACACGGAGCATGTCTCATTTTGGCTTCTATTTTATTTAAGTTCTTATACCACCCCCACCCCCATGGCATCTGGATAGATGAACGAAAAAGATCTTCAGTGCTGGTGGATCACATTCTAGCAGGGACATATTTCCAAGTTGAGGGGCTGGTAAAAGCACTCAGATTCATATGATTTGTAAAAAATCCCTTTTCAAAAGGACACCTCCAAAAGTCTCTTGACTATGAAGTGTTTGGTACCTGAATTTTAACCCGGAACAATTGGATGGAAGTTAGCGGGAATTTGTGGGTGCTGATCAGCGGCTCGATTGGACATTATTGGTCTGATTTTCAAATGTGATTCCCAGCAGCTCTCATAGAGATGGATGATTGCAGCTGAGTGCTGGGCAGTTTTGAAAATAAAGCTGTGCACCGATTACCAGAAGCAACTTCTGAATCAGAATCTTCCCTTGCGAAGGTATTTATTCTGTACTGTGTCGTATTCCAAGTCAGGGGCCACGCCATGCTAATATGACACTAACTGCCACTATTTCAGGATGCAATACCATTTCTGTCTAAACCCAAATTGTTCAAAGTGCTCTAAATTTTTTGTCGATTTTTAAATTAATTTTTAATTTGTCTGGCATTTACTGCTGTCTCAGCTTCCGTATTACCCATTTGGCCCTATCAAAACATTCAGTGAAGACCATTTTAAAAAGACTAGCAGAAGAATGATTCCAGTGACATGTCTATGTGCTCCCAAATTGGTGCCGATTATATTATTAGTGTGTAAATGAAGATTTTTAATATTACCAAAACCCAGTACTGGGTGGTGGGGCGGGGAGGCATCTGTAAAATCTGTACTCAGATAGGTAGAATTTAGACACAGTTTGATCTTTCTCCCACTGCAATAAAGGGCAAAATTCCAACTGATTTCTATAGAGCAGGATCAAGCCACAAGCTGTCTGTTCTGGCCCAGATCTGTACAGCCCTGCAAATCCACAGATATCCGCTTTATATCCAGATGCAGATATCTGCGGAGCGTGGCTCAGATGTGGATACAAATACAGATCTTCCCCTTTTGCTAATGTTGATAGTACCTTACTGAGCTACAAGCCCCAGGAGAATTTGAAAGCCCACAATGCATCCCAGCTGTATTACTACTCGAGGAGTAAATAAGGCAGTACTCAGTCTAGTAAGGTTCCTGGATTCGACCTGCCACTGTCATCTTAGTCAACGCTGAACCAGATCCAAACCAACCATGGTAGATGCAGACATCTAATGCACAAATGGAAAATCAAGGATTCCCCAGCGCGCGAGTGTGACTCCCCGCCACAGACCATCGAACAGACCCTGATGTAGCCATATGGCTTGATCAACTTCCGGGGAAATTGTAGATGCTGCTCTACACCAGCCAGAGGAAAGAAGAAGTAAGGAAGACAGAACTGGACCCCTCGTAAGGGCAATTTAAGTGATGGGCTGGTCTACATGGGGAAATTTACCAAATCTGGTCCATAGCTCACTCTGGGCAGATTCCTGTGAAGCCAATGCCAGTAGGATCTGCTCCTCTGATACATATTTTTTAATAGGAGTCCCCTTTGAGTCCGATACTGTTGCATCCTTGGGGCTTTGGGGTCCTCACACCTGATGATGATAACCCCCATCTGAGGGGCAATGAAATGTAGCTGGTGGCCTTCCAGGTCAAATCTGGCTCTCCCTCTGTCCACTGAAGCCGCCCACCTAACTGCAATTGGGCTCTGGGATCTGGGGAGGATCTGGGGAGCAGGATTTGACCCAAAGGCAGAGCAGAGAAGGATAAAGCCCAAGCCGGGCTGGAGATGCGGAGCAGCCAGGCGGGGGTCCAAGCCACTCACACCCTGCCCCTTTCCAGCCTGGATTTCCCACTCGTGCCAGAACCCTCCCGGGTTGGCGATGGAGGTGGGAGAAGGCCCCTGTGCCGCAGGCTGGGGAGGTCGGCCGGCAGGAGCTGGCCGGGCCAGTCCCCTTCGTAGCCTAGGGCCGGGTGGGGGGAGCGGGGAGATGTCTCTGGGGCGAGGCCCTGCCCCGCACCGACCCCTCGGCTCGGCTTGGAACATCAAAGCGCCCCGCCAGCCCCAGAGCAGGGGCGACAAAGGCCGAGGACAATGGGGCTGCTGGGCGCCCCGCGCCTTCCTGCAACCCGGAGTCACTCCGGATCTGCATGACAAAGGGCAGCGCTTGTAAATGTGGGCTGCCCCCGCTTCCAGCCCCCCTGCCTTAAACAACCGCGCTGCCTTTGAACTGGGCAGCCGGGCGGGCGCAGAGCGTGTTCATTTGGGTTTGCCTGGGGAGAGACTTCCACCTCCCCCCCGCCGGCCCCCAGCCTCCAAAGGGTCAGCAGTTCAGCTGCGGCCCGGAGCTGCGGGAGAGGCAGCGAGGTGCCGCCTCGAACCGTGAGCCGCAGGGCCCGGGGCGCAGCCCAGACTGGGTCGGGGAGAGCAAGTCTGGAAAGGGGAGCTGGACACACACACACACACACCTGCACACCTCACTCAAACCTCCCCTCACACACAAAAGCCCACAACCCCTACACACACCGCTGTCTCACACACAACCCCCACCCTTACACCCCCTACACGCACCTCCCACACCCCAACTCCCCTACACCCCCCCCCTTTCTCACAAACACACTCGCACAACCCCTCAGCTCTCCAGCCCTCACCTCACCCACACACAGCGCAGCAGGAGAGGTGGGGGTGGGGGGAGCGCTGTCTAAACTCAGAGCAGGTCACCCCAGGGACTTGCTGGGCTCTGTCCGGGATCTCCCCCAGAAAGGCTCTGGACGATCCGAAACACTCTTCCCTCCTGCCACTTCTCTTGGGGATGTGCGCTGCCAGCTCTCCAGCCCCTGCCCTGTTCCCGGGGGACAGGGAGCCTGGGCCTTGGCAGGGGCACCCAGTCTGTGCGAGGGATGAGCTCTTGGCATTTCTTCACTACTCCCGAAATGACCAAACTAGAAGCCACTGGGCCGCCTGAGTTCGAAGCTCGCCGGTGGATAACCCCTGGCTCCCAATAACAGAGGAAAGGAGGGGAAGTGCGCTGTCTGGCGCCGATCCTGCATCACCTGCACACGCCGGACTCAAGAGGATTGGGGCCCGAATGGGTAAAACACGCAGGCCCTGGAAAATTGGGCCCTGGGTCGGCCCGTCTCCGAGGACCATTGGGCTGTGGATCAGGCCCTGGGTGTTTAACAGAATGGTGTCACCTGAATTTGGAGCTAAACTCTACAAACTCGTTGGATTCCAGTCCAGGCGGGGTCGGGGGTTGACGAGAGAGGTTTTTGCAATAGATGCAATAGGTTTCCCCTTAGCTGCCACACTGGGGATGGCGATATTGACCTGTTGGGACTGTCACTAGCACAGAGCGAGGACAAAGCAGTTTTATGCAGCTTTACTGGGCAGGGGGAAATGCGCCTTGGCTCAGGGCCCATATCGGCCAGCTCTGGGGAAACGCTTGTTAAAGGACCCCCGGGAAGCTGAGGCGTTGCAAGCAAAGTCTCCGAGACTTTAATTATCCCCCGAAGTTCAGACGGACAAAACCACCGATATGAACCGTGTGCAAATACATATAAACGTAATTTACAACCCCTGCGCTCTCCGAAATACCCGGGCACGCTAAGGTGTCATTGCCCGGAGCTCCGTAGGGTAATGCGCAATTGAAAACTCAGCTTCCCCCACGCCGAATGCTGCCCTCCCTTCCTGGCATTGTTGGGGTGCAGGGTTGCGCCCCAGCTACGACCTAAGCAAAGACACCCCCGAGAGGCGGGGGGGGGTAAGAAAGTGGGGGGTTCCTTACCACTGCTGCTGCTGGTTGGAACGCTGCGCCTCATCCACTCATAGGGGGTGCGCCTTTGCGCATTGGGGGAGAGCTGGGCCACTGAGCTGTTGATGGGTGAAGGTAGGAGTCCAGAGCCTGGAGGCTGAATTGGATTAAAATCAGTGGGGCTGAATCCAAGCTGCCCCGGGTTAGCGACGGAAGAAGCGGCTCCAGGCCCGTACGAATGCCAGTCCTCCTTGGTGGGTGTGTATGGCGAGCCCCAGGCGCCCGCAGGTTGCCCATGGTGTGGGTCACTGTTAATCCCTGGCACGTGGTGGTAGCTGGCAAAATCCGAATATTGAGGGGGCGCAGGCACGTAGTTCTGGGGATTGAGGTTCAGGCTGGGGTGCCTGACCGGGTTAGGGTACATGTTAGTGTCCTTATCCAAAAGATAGCCCACATACATCATCCCCGGATGGCCCTGCGCGCATAATGTGCCTCTGCCGCTCTTTAGGCTTGGCCTGAGCTCCCTGTAACTCAGCTCCCACTCCTTCCTGATAAGCTGTTCACCTGAACTTCTTGGGCAGCTTTCTCCCACTTCGCGAAGGCACCTCCCTGACGAAAGGCTTTTATTGGGCCAACCTCTCGGAGCATTTGCATTGAAAGGCAGGTTTGCATTTCAAAGTGCAGGAATCAAAGGGGCAGGCAGTGGGGCGAATTCAAACGGTACAAATTGCTTGCCAGAGAGAAGGGGGGGAAAAGAAGACCCATGGGGTGGATACGTTTGAGGTGGACGGGGAAAGGTCGAGCGGCTCCAGGAAACCCACAGACCTCCGGGCTCCAGGAGATCAGTCCATGAGAGCGCACTGCTGAAGCCTGGAGAACATTTAAAGGCTCCCCAGCCCGTGCGCACGTGCGAGCACCCCCATTATGGCAAGGGAGCCGAGTCCCTTTTGGGTGACACCAGCACTATTAGGGCCTGCTCCAAAGCCTAATGAAACCAATGGAGTCTTCCTAATGGGTCCAGGGAGCTTTGGGTCGGGAGCCCTTAATGCTCCCCTGCTCCGGGGAGATGTCAGCACCTTTCCAAATCATACACACGCCCAGGTGTGGGTTTATTTCCCTTGCGAACGACCTGGCACTGACTCTGGGTCCGTGTAAGTTCGGAGTCTGATTTTCCACCGACTTGTCAGGCGCCAGGATGGCTTGGCTGCGGACCCAGAGAAATGCGCACAAGAGATGGACGTTTATAAGAACACAAAGTATAAAATACCAGACCGTTGTGCCCCTAAAAGGACCAAACGGTCACCATTTTAAACCCACACCTTACAAAGCTCCCGGGTCTAATCGCAGTTAGGATCCCAGTTTATTTTTACCCACCCACCCCCGTTTCTGGCCTTTTTTTTCATCGCCTTAGATTGTCACGTTTCCTCCCCAACACACCAATGGCTGTAGGTGTATCTAGAAGGACGTTGGCCTTCCCAGCGCCAAACTACGGCCTCCAGTTATTGGAAAGCCTCTTTTCCCGAGTCGGGCAACCCCAGCACCCCTCCTGTGCGGGGCCTGGCTCTGCCCTACAGGGATATTGGAGGGCGAACACTAGTGGGCTGGCGGGGGGGCTCTCGCCATGGGCTCTGACCGTAACTTGGCGGATGGAGGGAGAGATCAGATTCATCTCCAGGAGTGAGAGGGGAATATTGGTCCCCCCAGCCAGGCACACTGCGGGACACTGTGCGCTCAGCCGGTTCACCTCCTCCGGTGCTGCTGGGACACCTTCCCGAATGGGCTTTCCATTGCCCGTGTCACCCCTGGCCCAGCCCCTCCAGCCATGTGCCCGAAGCTTGCGCCTGGGAGCCCCCTGAGCCTGGCAGTCTCCCCCCCCC